CACAATGTACCAAAACTTATAGGACACAGTAAAGGCAGTTATCAGGAATTTTCAATGAAGGCCTATCTAACATCAGTGAAATCCCTTATTTCCTATTCTCTTCAAAATCTGGTTTGAATATCTAGCTGTTCTCAGACAATGTATTGCTTCAAATATTGTTGGCTGATCTTCAACAAACTTTTAATTGCATGTCCTATCAAGGATATTTGTTGTTAGTCTGGGTAGGCTAGAGAAGGAATTCCATTAAACTGCATGGCCATTTCTGATTTCTGGCTAGCCAAAGAAGAAAAACCACCATGAAGCAAAGGTCGAACAAGCATCTACTCTTCATCTTCACAATTTGTTTCTCTCGTACCCCACTCCTCATACCATAATGTGTTAGTCTGGAGAACAAATCCAGGGAAACACTCATATGTGTGTAAGAGAGAGCTTTATAACAAAGAGTAATTGTATATTGAGAAAACATCCCAGCCCAGTTAAGATCAAGTCCATAAATTCTATATTAGCCCATATGTGCAATATCAGTCTATAAATTCCTCTATAGACACACACAGTCATGCAATAATGCCGAATGCAAGATGACCATGAGCCAGCAGGTGGAAAATCTTGTGGATCCAGTGGTCGTGGAAGTAACTCCATGCTGGTGTGGGTCTCCACGAGGCTTCTCCATCTCCAGGACTCTGGCTCCATCTGCTTGGTTCCATGTGTCTTGTCAGCAGGAAGATGAAGCAGACAGTGAATGTGCATCTGGTCTCCAGTGGGCTATTTATGTCCATTGTGCCTCCAAATGAGGTCATCGAGCGTGACCTGATGGACAGGCTGAACTCCACCCCTTCAATCTTAATAGCTTCAAGTTGACATCAGATTATTAGTCTTAAAATTTCAGCATTCTGTTAGGTGACCATTCTTAGGAATGGTCAAAAACATGGATCTCTTCCAGTCTGTTGGCCAAGTAGTTGTCTTCCACATTTCTTGCCTTGGAGGTGTGTGTTTTTAGTGCTTTGTCAACTTGCTGAAACATTACAATGATATTTCATCAATTCCTGGAGCCCTGTTTTTAAGCTAGTGTTTCCAGTGCACCTTGGACTTCTCCCTTCATTCTCTTTGATACTTGCTCATAGGCTACCTCTTGAGATGTTTGAAAGTGACAAAGTTAATTTGGGTATAGTGACACTGTATCCTTTCCATTAAAAAAAGTGTTATATTGATATACACTTCACATATGTGTTAGGCCAGGTTGACTAGAGAAACAAATCTACTGACACGCATATATATGTAAGAAAGAGCATTATATCAAGAAGCAATTGTATATTAGGCAAACATTCCAGTTTAGTCAAGATGAAGACCTTAAGTCCAATACTAGTCCATAAGTACGAAACTAGTCCATAAATTCTTCTTCAGACTCACGCAGCCACATGCAATGATGCAGAATGCAGGAAGATCATAGACTGGTGGGTGTAAAATGTGGATCCAATGGTAGTGGCTACATCACAGGGTTCTGACTGCCATCAGTGTCAGCCATCAGGAAAATGAAGGCAGATAAAGGGAGAGGAGATTCCCAGGACCCTTCTTAGGAGAAGGCCATGCAAACAACTAGTCACAGTCAGGTTGTGGCCAGATTGACAGGCTAGAATACACTCCTATACTTTTATATATCAAGTTGACATGAAATTATGTAACTACTACACACATCATGCCATTTAATCATTCAGTCTTATTAAGAAGATTTGTACAAGCATCACCTCAATCAATTCAGAACATTGTCTTCTAATTCTCATTCTTCTTAGCTCCCAATTTCCACCTATCCTCCCCTGCTATCACCCTAGGCAACACTCCATCCAGTTACTGTCTCTATGGGTCTCCCTTTCCTGGATTTCATATACAGATAATCATATAACAAACAAACAAGAAGCACACAACAACAATTAGATAAAACAGAAAAATCTCAATAAAACATAGAACATTAAATATTGAAAACTGAAACAACTTTAAAATTGGTCAAACAGGATATCGGAAGGTAAGGTATTGCATTTTAACCTAACTACATCTGCCTTAATGGATTTTTAAATGCTCTCTGTCTGACAACAAGGTTATACCTCAGCTATGATCAGAGTGCATTCATTAGAGGCTTAAACCATGTGGAAACACTTCAAAAAGATTTTGGGCTTCCACTATTATCCAGAGCCTTCTACAACCGGATGTTCTCAATTTAAGTCTTTGACATCATTTCCACATTGGATTTGAATTTTATGATTTACCAACCTTGCAACCCAGAGGCTGGTATGCTTCTTCCAGGTGAACTTAACTGATGTTTGCTCAGATGACTACTTATTTGAAGACAAGACTTTAAGACACTATTCTTTATTGTTTGTGATAGCCAGGCACCATCTGGTTTCGTCACCACAGTTGTTTATACCACCCATATCCTTAGTGATCTCTTTACATGTGCAATATCTTAATAGCTAGCTGTTTTTAGATTAGAACTAGAATTATGTGCAAACCCAAAATCCACTCATATGTCTACGGTTTACTTATGTGTCTGGTTCACTTTAGAGACATGATTATCATTTTATGAAAGTCATCAGTTGATCAAGCAGTTGTCTTGCAATATTCTTGGCATACACGAGTAATGCTTCATCAGCTTGTTAAAACATTTCAATGTGCATTATTACATCAATGCCTGGAGCCTTGTTTTTAACTAATGCTTTTGGTGCAGCCTGGACTTCTTCCTTCAGTATCACTGATACTTGTTCATTTGCTACCTCTTGAAATGGGTTAAATGTTCACTAGTTCTTTTTTGGTATAGTGACTCTGTATATTCTTTTTACCTTCTTTTGATACCTTCTGCATCTTTCACTATTTTGTTTGTAGAACCTTTCAGCATTTCCATTTGGGACTGACCTGTCAGTTTGTTGTCTTTTGGTGGTTTGTGGGTTTTGTAATGCAGGATGTTATGTCACTGGTGTTTTGAATACTAGCAGGGTCACGAAAAGTGAACATGTTTCAGCAGAAATTCCAGACTAAGTAAAAACTACCAAAAAAGTTATATATATAGGCTGGAGATAGAGAGTTGGAACTCATCACATTATTTCTAAGCAAGTTACAATTGAGCTGCAGCACAACCCACTACTCTTCATTTGACATTTTTACTTTTATTTTAACTTTGTTATTTGTAGTTTTAATTATTCTTTGCATTCCCTATTTCTCAAAATAATCTGTATGTTTTCTGAATAACAAATACACTCCAATTTTGGTTTCCCAATACAATTGCTCATTTGCTTCCTTCTTGAAGGGTCCGACTCTCTTTTCTTAAACAGGTCATGGTTAAATTTCCTAGTGATTGGATGTACTTCTTCATTTTACAGTTAGGGCTTCTTTCTTCATTTCCTCCGGTTTTGATTTCATTATTTCAACCACAAACATGGTTTCAGTTATATTCTATACAGTAGCAGTGATATAATTAATGTATTCTGTTCAGGCCTCGTCACTGTGCTTTAGTCTTGCATTTTCCACTTGTTTCTCATTTTCTCCATTTTAGATGCTTCTAAATCAACTCAGCCTCCACATATCAAAACTATCTCATAATCTCCTCCAACTATCGGGATCCTGCTTTAGTGATGACAGTCATCTTCATGAAGAGCAACACAAGGTATCTAAGTATACTATCCAGAAACTTAATACCTGTCTCTTTCTCATTAATTCTGTTGGTAGGGGAAGTCCTTCCATTCCAGCTCTTAGCAACCATATGTACAACAGAATGAAATGCTTCCCTGCAAGATGCTATGGCAACAGTTGTTGTTATGTTTCAGTTCACTGCTGTAGCCATGTGTCAATCCATCTCTTTCATACTCTTCCGATTTTGCACAAACCACAAAGCTTGATGTCCTTCAGGAAGTGTTCCCTCATGATACCATGTCCAAAGTGCATGAGAAATATTGAGTGAGCTATTTGCCTCTTGGTTTTCTAACTCTTAATCCCTTCACATTTTACTATAATAATTTACCATTTCTTCCACAGCCAGCCTTTGACATTTTCTTCTCAGCTCACCCACCTCATCATTTCCCAGTAGTTTTAGCTTTTCTATATTCTAGAGCAAGTTTGAAGAGTTCTTTCACATCTAATTTTGTCTTTTTGTTCTTTCCCATACTTTGAATAACTCCTTACACTTTCCATGGATGATATTTTGATGTCATCCCACAATCTGTCATGAGTAGATAATGTTTAATAACACCTTAATTGGAGACCATTAAAGGGTGAACATAAAATGGGTTTCAACTGCTTTACACACTGCCTAAAGTAACTTTGCTAATATTTAAATGTTATGTGATTTTTCATAAATCTTCCTAATAAGACAACCAGGATGTACAAGATGGGGCACACATTCATCAGAGGCAGTAAGTTGTCATATCATAGGAGTGGCTTCTCATCTGAATGCTCCACATTGCTCTCCTTCTTCATTTATGTCTGGCACTTTTAGAGGTAAGGATAGCAAGACTTTGTCTTGCATAGTTTATACATGTTTTAAGAAGAGACCAGTCCATGGAGAAGGACATCATTCTTAGTAAAGTTGGGGGTAGTGATAAAAAGGAAGGCCCTCAATAAGATGGAATGACACCGTGGCCGCAACAAAGGGCTCGGACATGGGGACAATTGTGAGGTTGGCTGGGACTGGGCACAGGTTCATTTTGTAGTGCATCCGGTCACTATGGGGAGAAGCTGATGCACCCAACAACAACAAGCTCTGGATATTTGGGTTTGCCTTGATTGCTACAATTGAGGAGTTAACGATATAAAAACTGAGAACAGCAAAAAAAGACCTTGAAGCTACTGCTGGAAGAAAATACTAATTAAGGTGTGATCAGAAAATTAGAGGCCCCCAAAAGAAATCTCAAGAGGATTGAAGAGTGAGATCCTAATAGAACTAGGAGAATTTGGTTCACTGAAATCAAGAAAAGAAAGGATTTTAAAGGGGGAAAAGTTATAAAATAACCCAACCTTACCTTCTTCATATCTTCATACATCATAAACAGAATATTGAAATTATGTCTGTGCTCATACCAGCCTCTGACGTGATCAAACCAAAGGCTTCCTACAACTGTGGGAAGAGTTGATAACAAGGTAAAGATGTTACACTAGTTTTTAATCAATAAACTCTATATATTTTTGTTTTGTTTCTCTTTTTGCAGTTTCCTGAGAAATAATAAAATCCCCACTATTTGTCAGTCCTATTTCCTTCTTGGAAATGGGACAGTGACTTAAGGAGCAAGCACATGCAATTAGTGGCAATTTTCCTTCAAAAAAGCTTCTCTGGCCAAGGATCTTATTTTAAAGTGGTTTGGTGTGTTTTTTTTAAGACTCCAGATCTGGCCGGATCCCTCTAGGACTGTGTTTAGGCCACAGCTGTGCCCCTCTGTGTCCATGTCCTCCACAAGGGCTACAAGTGACCAAGAGAATGAGCAAGCCGAGGCACAGCCGCTAGGGTCACCACGCACACCAAGTTCTTGTTGGACTTGATCCCGGAGGTGTCCAGCTGCGCACAGTAAGAGCTCAGCGCCCTGAAGCTGCTTAAGTAATCCAAGGACAATCAATTCATCAAGGCGCGGCTTGGGACACACATCCAAGCCAAAGGAAGCAAGAGGAGCGGAGGAACTTGCTGGCTGCCATAAAGGACTGGTGCGCCTGCCCCACTACAATCCCTCCCCCGCCCCTCTTTGCAATAATAAAACGTTTCCAGGAAAAGAGAGACAAAGACCATTCATTCTTCTACTTCCTCTACCTTAAGGAAGGGGCCTCGATGACATGGTGAGGTACACACTCCACTGCTAACTACAAAGTCAGCTGTTTGACCCCGTCCGCTGAGGGAAGGATGAGACTTTCTGCTCCACTAAAGATCTACGGCCTCAGAACCCCCAAGGATTGTGTCTTGCAGGGTCAGTGTGAATTGGAATGACCTTGATAGTCATGAGTCTTAGCTTTGTTTTGTTATTTAGTTCTACCTGAAAGCATGTTTTTCTTTATCCTCCTCTTTGCTAGTCTAAGATCTGTAGAGAGCGAATTTAGGTAACTGAAATGACTGAGAGTCACCCAAATTTATCAGTGGTGCAATGAAATTCCACAACTGACATATAAATCTGGCCACAGATCCCTGACAGGCACACAAATTACACATTGTTGACATGACATTGGTTTTGACCCATGGTAACACTATGTATGTTAGAGGAGTAGAATTCAGTAGTTAATGTCGGGAGTGGATTGATCAGTCCATCTTCCAAAGTACCTCTGAGAGGAATTGAACCTCCAATGTTTGGTCAGCAGCTGAGCATGTTAAGCATTCAACCACCAGTGGACTCTACTCTGGTTATGTTAGGGTTAGTTTTAAATGCTATTCAAGTCATTTCGGACTCAAAGCAACCCTTAATACACAGGATCCAAACACTCAGGGCTGTGCATCTTCACAATTGGGATGTTTGAGCCCATTCTTGAAACTACTGAGACAATTTATTTTACTGAGGGTCTTTCCCTGCTTTACCAAGCATGATGTTCATTTCCTGGGAATGGTTCCTTCTGATAACATATGCAAAGCATGTAAGACAAAGTCTCTCCATTCTAACTTCTAAGGGGCCTTCTGGCTGCACTTCTTCCAAGACAGGGAACTTGAGGGTACGTTCCATAGTTTTCACCAAGCCCATATGTCAAATAAATCAACTCTCCTGTTATGATTGTCCAACCTTCACAAGTATATCAGGTGATTGAAAATATTACAGCTTAGGTCAAGTGCATGATGCTGTCTATTCGTCTAGTGATGAGAACTTTTTCTTTTTGAGTTAAAAGCAATCCATACTGAAGGGTACAGTCCTGGATATTCATCAGCACGTGTTTCAAGTCCTCCTTGCTTCCAGCAGACCAGACTATCACAGGTTACTAATAAACTTGCCCCAAATCTAGATTCTATCTTCTTTTTTATGCAGATTCTCACTCAACCTCAGCATACAGGTTGAATAAATATAGTAATAGTACACAACTGAAAATATACACCTGTCGTGTTTAAGTCATACAGTATTCCCCTGTTGGGTTCGTAGAGCTACCTCTTGGTCACTATACAGGTTCAACATGAGTACAATTAGTAGTTGTAGAATATCCCATCTTTGCAATGTAATCCACAGTGGTTCTTACCCACAAACAAATGCCTTTGCCACTTTCAGACAAGATCTATATGATGTCTGCAATATTATCCCTCATATGATGTATCCTTGCTGAACCAGGCTTGCGTTGTTGGCAGCTCCCTGTTGATGTTTTACTACAATTATTTGTGAAATGTCTTCAGCAAAATTTTACCTGGATACGATAGTAATGATATTGTTAGATATTTTCCTTAGTGGCTTAGGTCACAGTTCCTTGGAATTGGTAGAGCTATTGACCTCTTCCAATCAGTTGGCCGGGGAACTATCTTCCAGATTTTTTGGCATGGACAAGTGAATGCTTTCAGTGCTTCGCCAGCTGATGGGAAAACTTCAACTTTTATCCCATCAATTCCTGAAGCGTGTTTTCCACGAATGCCTTCCATGCAGCTTGGATTTCTTCCTTTCTTATCATTCTTTCTAATCATATGCCGCATGTGGTTAGTTAGTAGCACTTGTTAGAATTCTGTGATTCTTTTATGATCTGATGATAATATCTCATATAATATGTGCCTTTGGGACTTTAGCACCCCTTAAAGTGGTCCTTGCAGCAACAGGGACAGCACTGGGCAGTAAAATAAAATCCTGCACATTGCACCTTCAATTATCTCCTACTCCATCCCCAATTATGTTACTCAAGTTTGAGAACTGGGCTAAATGTTGATGTAAATTATTTCATAAAGGCATTAGAAAATAAATTCAGTCACCTCTTCCATCCAGAAATCTTTCCATGAATTTTTCCAGAGTGTCTGAAACTTCTAATAGAGTCACAAATTGGGAAAAATGGAAAAATGAGACCAACACATCCTTAGGATTTCTGTAGATGTAAATTACCTGCAGAGGGAATAAAATAATAATTTTAACAATTCCTTAGTTATCCTCCTCGGTATTTTTACATCTACATAGTATTTTATTAACTCAATGTACAAGACATATTATGCAAGTCACTAGTTATGGAAATTTAAGTTATTTACATTTTTGATATTACAAAATGCTTGAGATCCCTGAGTGATCTGATCAAAATATTGCCTATAAGATAGGCCTTTGCAACTTTAACACCCATTAAAGTGGTGCTTTCAGGAGAAGGGAGGCCATTGAGCAGCAAGATAAAATCCTGTGCATTCCACCTTCCGATATTTGTCTACTCTATCCCCAATTGTGTTCATCTAACTGTCTTCATAGGACTGTCTTGTTAATATATGTATGTAACCCCAAATTGTACAGTTGTCTATTCTGATTTCTGTGGCTTCACAATTCTGCCATAGGTGACTGCATAATGAAACTGATGCAGATGTGCACCGGAAGAGAAATTCACAAACAGTGAAAGAAATATGTGCCAAAGTACAAGTAGTAGAATAACTAATTATGTAGTGAAGAAAAACAAGAAGCGATAATGTTATAATTGTCAATTGGTATAGTGATTGGTAATAAAATATGAATTCAAGAAAAGACAAAGGCATATAAGAAAATATAAGGCAAAATGAAGATAGTTGACATTATAAATGAAAACTTCAGAATAATCAAAGGACAAATGAACAAACAATATGATAAATATTTTTAATGACCAATCAGTAGAGAGAAATTTTGTGAACACACACACACACACACACACACACACACAAATACTCACTACTGTCCAGTAGATTAAAAAATTTTGAGTGCCATTAATTGAGTTAGGTACATAATAATTTTGATTTGGCACTTTAAAAAGACAAATTTACACATAACTTTACACATAAGGAAAAATGTGAATCCCTTAATTGAATTTTACATACAATTATGTGTGCATTAAGATGTCACATATAACATACTTTTTTATCTAAAAAAGTTTACCACATAATTGGTCATAAAATTTATAATAAATTCCAAAATCTAGAATTCTTGCAACATCTACCTGATGATAGGGCCATGATACTAAGTACCAGGAAAATCTTTTAATATATAAAGGAATATAATCATATGAAATTTAAAATATTTAAGTAATTTGGACAAATAAAACAAGTGAAACTGAAATTATGAATTATAAAAATATTATCAAAACTATACTGACTATTCATAGCCTAACAATGTTGAAGATTTTAAAATAGAAGCTAGAAAATAGAGGAACTATTTTATTAAAATGCTAAGAAGCATATACAAAGTATGAGAAAATAAACAATATGGAAACAGATTAATAAAATATAAAACACTGAATTTTGTTTTAAAAAGGAAACTAATTATGTTGAAGAAAACATCAAAATGACTTTATAGTTTTGAAAAAGGCAAAAAAGATAACATTTTCTAAAGATAAACATTTGTATATGTATGACATCTTCAGTTTCTAAAAATGCATTCCATATGATTTTCCCTTCTTTGAATAAACAAAAATAAAAATCCAGGTAAATTAAGCATAAAATTATTTCTGACCCTTATGTTCCTTAGAAGTCCTTAAGAAAACGGAAAACGTTCTGGAAATCCTAAGCAGTAAAGGAAAAGAGAAGAGTATCTGCCAAAGGATTTCGATTTTGCTTCTACTCAATAAAGTAGAGTGAATCCTGACTAATGGCAATTCCTGTGCTGTCGTCTCCCTGGCTGTGAGCTTTGCACAAGCAGATCACTGGGCCTTTATTCCATAGAGCTGCCAAGTAGGCTGAGACCACTGGCTTTAAGGTTCATTGCCAACCTTTAGGTTAGTAGTCAAGCACAAACCATTTGTGCCATCCATGTATCCTAAGAACTTCTACAAAACATTAAATTGAAAAATAAAACTTTTAAAATGATATAATAATATATCATTATTTAAAAGCTTAGAAACATATACATAATCCTCAATTTCTATAAGAGCCTCCAAAAAATGATTTTTTAAAAGATGCTAAATTAATTAAAAATATAATAAATTAAAGGTATTGAAGAATGACATTTTTCCTAGCACAATAACAAATAGATCACTCCACTCACCGGAAAATGTTTTCATGAAGGAAGAAAGATCCTTATATGTTATTTGAAGAAGTCTCAGGTGATACAGTATATTTTGAAAAGTAGATCATGCTACCAATACTCGACACATAAACCTGAAAGCTTCACTCTCAGAAAAGCACTTTGCCAGCACAGAAAAATGCAAAGAGCTACAAGAACGCATGTTACAATACCACAGAGACATTTGCTTTAACCTAGCTGCCCTCCAATATTTTATATACAATTCAAATCAAAACATTATCAAACCACTAAAAGGAATTTTATGTGCTGATATGAAAGCCATTTATATAATTACATTGAAAAACTACATGGGTGGTGATCCAAAGGAAGTAATACTTAAACTTTTAATTAATACTTAAAATACTTAAAGTAATACTTAAAATTCCACATATAATGTTTAAACATGTAAGGCAATATCATCACAATAGAATCATTAGAACATTTGGGAGAATGTGGATGAAGAAGGTGAGAGAACAAGACATCTTGGGGGGAAATTCATAAGCAATTTTTATGACCTACTTTAGCCTTTTTGTTCTTCAAACCCCTTGGCATTATGTAATAGGGAAGGTGGGTAGCAAAGAGGCGAGGAGATGGGCGCTTGGAAAAGTCCACTTTGCGTATATTATATTCCAAGAAAGGTACTCTAGCTAATGTGTCCTCGTGGGAATTTTTGTTCCGATGATCCTCGAAATAAATAGAGCTTATAATTTGCTGAGTCCAGATTGTACCTGTAAAAATAAATTATCTTGTTTTTAACACTGTAAACAGTCATCCCATCACCCTTTACTTCTTAATTGATTCCTGGTACTTTTGGACACTCACACCATGAACAAATGTGAAAGTGACATACTGCCAAAATTCAACCCAAGTCGACTTCCAATTTTCACACTGTGCTGAAGTAGATCTCAGCATCAGAAAAGGTTTTCCATGGCCTTCCGTGATCCACTAAGGTCACACTTTATCTAATCTTTGTAGTGATAGTTCTAAAGACCTAAAAGAGAAATGAAGGGAGGCAGGGAGAGAGAGTGAGAGAAATAAGAAGAGGTTGAGGAGGGGGACAAGGGAGAGGGAGAGAAAGCTCAGGGGAGAGAAAGGGAGAGAGCTAATATCCTCCCAGTAGTTTCTAGTGGCCAAAGGCCTTTTTGAGAGCCTTATGCTAGAATCCCGCTGTCATGAAATACATCTCAAGAAAGTGAAACATGAGTCCCAGAGCGACCCCGATCCTGTGCTGAGTGCCCTGAGCTCTCTGCCCACCATCTCTGCCAGGAGAGGGTCAGATCAGAGAAATACGACAGCTACATAGATAAAACAAATTTCTTATTTTCTTCTAGTCAAAGTGGAAAAATCATATTGCATACTCAAGCAATTGGATAAATTTTACTACTTGGGGTGGGGGAAACACATCAAAGGCAATACTTAGTTAATAGGCAGTTTTCTGGCGGGCTCCCTGGGATAGACTTTGAGTTGCAAACTATAAGGTCAACAATTCAGACCCAGCAGCCACTCCCAGGGAGAAAGATGAGACTTTCTACTCCTGTAAACACTTCCAGAGCATTTAAAAGTTCACCCAGAGTCGGAATCAACTCAATGCAGTCAGTTTGGTAAATTTTTTGGTTCAACATGAAAATGATTTCTAATAAAGTCCTAAACCTTAACTTGGAATTGGTGTTTTTCTGGTTTTTGGTATATGGAACCCAGGATTGATGAAGCCCCAGGGACAGCAAGTAGAATAACGTTTTCTTTTCTTTGTTTTTCTGGGGGGTGGAGGGAGTCGGAGGTGTAATAGTGGTGATGGGGGGTGTCATTAAAAGTGAGACAATGCCAAAGAGGCCCGGAAGGGAAAGAATATTTGGAAACAGAACGTGAGAGCAATTTTACAATAGTTTCATGTGACTGAACTGTGGAATAATAAATGTATTAACTCCCAATTAAGAAAGTAAAATAAAAATTTTAAGAAGACTAAAATAAAACATTTTTTAAATTGCATGGATAGAAAGAAAACATGCTTTCCAAAAGAGAATAAATTTCTTAAAAAGAAAGTGAAACCACTTAGATATGAACTTTTATGGCACATTATGCTAATTAATATAATATTTACACTCCAGAAAGAGGAAAGTATATAAAACCTCTCATGAGGAAAACAACATGTTTGCCGAGCTGGAACGAAAGTTCAACTGGGGAGATTTTAAAACTACCATGCTTCCAGATCCAATGATTGCATTTAGTGGTATACGCTCACAGAGTTTATTTAGGCCTGCTGCATTCTAAAGCCCTGGAACACCATCACTAAGAAGCTTCCTCCCTATTTAGTCTCCCTGATTTTCTGTACAAAAGGAGTTGGTGGTGTGGTGGGTTAGGTGTTTGGCTGCTAACCACAAGGACAGCATTTCAAAACCACAGGCTGGCTACTTCTTGGAAGAAGGATGAGGTTTTCTACCCCCAAAAGATTTACAATCTCTGAAACCCACAGGGGAAACAGTACTCTCTCCTATAGGCTCTTTATGTGTCAGAATCTACTCAATGGCAATGAGTGAATGTGACTTTTTATGGATTCTCTTTTCTTTCTTTCTTTTTTTTTTTTTTTGCATACTACATCTGAGGTGGTTTTATTCCAGTCACCTCAGACTAGAGGGCATTTTACATTGCTTGAGGGTACTCTTTCAAGTTCTGTCTGTCAAGGGGAATATGTTCCCATATAATTCAATCTGATGGATTAATAATATTCTGCCAACCAAAACATCTTGTGTCTTAAAGTCTTGTTTCCAAACAAGCAGCCATCTCAGAGGAATGTCAAGTAAGTCCACATGGAGGGATCAAGCCATCATCAGTCACTGAAGGATGATAAACCATAGAGGTAATCGGAAGTGGGGGGAGGGACTAGTATCAGAGGCTACCTTGTGAGAACCCGGCGTACAGAGAGCTACAGTTGACAGTGGGAGCCCAAGATTCATTTGTGGAACTACATGGGAAATAAGTTTCCAGAGAACTCCCTCTGCCTACAATGAGGGAGGGAAAGAAAGTGGTTACTAAACAGAGAGCTTTGGAAAGATAAATATAGAAGATCGAAGGCATCAATCTAACTTGAACAGGTGAAATGTTTTCAGTCGAATCCCCTACGATGCATGCTGGGCCTGATCTGGTTCCTAAACTGTCTGTATCTTTGGTTTGTCTTGTTCTGTTTGGTTTTTGCTTGTGTATATTAGCATGTACCTCAGAGGTGTCACGTCATTGGAGGGCACCCTCTTGAAGTTGTGCTAAATGTTTTTCGATACATGAAATCCACAATTGATGAACCTATAGATACACCAAGTAGAATAAGGTTTTGGGGGCAGGGGGAAAAAGAGAGGGTTAAGGGGAGATAGTATCAAGGGGTTTATTTAGAAAAATTATGTTAGGAATCTGTGCTAGCAATTTTATAATTCTGCTTGATGTTATTGAACTACAGACTTATAGGATATGAATTAATAAAAATATTAATTTTCTGCTGGCATGTATACTCCATTTATCAGGCATATCTTTCCTTTTTGCTCTTTCTCATTCACCCAACTGAAAATACTTCTGATTTGTTTTCATTATAAATTACAAATAACACATTTCCTTGAAGCATAACTTCAAGAAGTGGTTACAAGTGTAAACTTTTCAAACAAAAATTTTTCCTCCTCAGCTAACAAGCCAATTCTCAGACATAACTGCTATCAACAGGCTAAACTATAGCCTTCCTGACATATGTGCTTATGTAAACAATATCAAATCGTCCTTTGAAACCAAAAACCCACCTGCTTCACCAACTAAACTAAGATTAGCTTTTTAAATAACAACCACATAACAATGAAGACTTTTCTTGTCATTTCAACAGATCATCTCAGCAAGGAGCTACAGCCGGGTTGACTAGAAATTCTATCATACGGAGTTGAGTATGATTTCAAGGTTTTTGTTTGTTTTTCTAGGAAGACAAGGTCCTGTGATCCAGTAAAGTTTAAAGTTTATGGTTTATGAAACCCAAATTGAGGCATTCTAGTCTCTCCAGTAAGCGTCACACAATAAAACAAACAGAAAAGTCACTGCCATCCAGTTGATTCTGAGTCACAGAGACCCTGTGGGCAGAACAGAACTGCCTCTCTAGGTCTCCGACACTAACTCTTAAAGGAGGAGAGAATGCTTTTTCTGTTTCCCAAGTAGCATCTCTTGGTTTCGAACTGGGAACTTTGTAGTTAGCAGCCCATCATGTAAATAGGTTGCTGTCAATGTTCTGGAAAAGGCAATTGCTCACATCTATTAAGAAATCAGAATAAAGACAGAAACAGAAGGCCTAATTCTCAAACTTACCAGATTTCGGGTATGTGACTATGAAGACATCGTCATCTCTAATTTCAAAATCATCTAGATTTTCTAGGTGGTCAATATCAATCAGAGAAGGCTCAAAATTATAGCCTTTAAAAGTAAATAAGTAAGAGTCTGTGTCCTCCATGATTATTCACCTACAAGTAAAAACACGACATTATTTTCATGTTCTTAATATTTTATAGTAATGATTAACAACTGTTGAATGCATAGTATGTGCCAGGCAACATTTAAATGTCTTATGTCATTTAAACTCATTTACTCTAGTAAACATTCCACAAATATCAAATCAGTTAATATTCACAGCAAGCCATTGAAGTACATATTGTCATTATGACTCTTTTAAAGATGGAAAATTGAGAGTCTAACAAACTGAACAACTTTCCTTAAAGTCCACTGGGAAGGGTATCATAATTTCGAGCACATGGCTGAAGAAATTAAGGCACGGAGACTTGAAGGAAGTTGCTCAAAGATTCCCAGGCAGCAGGGCACAGAACCCTGACCTGATGCGAGCAGTCCAGCCCAGGGTATGAATCACATTACTACAGAGGGGTCACTTAGTATTTTGTAATTTGCATTGTTTTCATTGTCGTACCTATAGAACACTCGTTAGTCAGTGTACTTTTCACTGGCTGTTTGCTCCAGAGCATGAAAAATCTGTTCTCTCTGAAATAATCTTCTGAGACTTTGGGATGTGTGACACTGTGTCACCGGATTGGTGGAACATGCTCTGCATGACTAATAGCATGTTTGACAAGTTTGACCTTGTCAGTGTTATCCTCAAATATTTCAAGATAGTAATAAAAATTGTTATAATAATTTTTAACAGAAAATATTTTTTTAAATAGAATTACATCTTTAATCAAGATATATTCACATTCTAGGGAAATTGTATGATTCAAAAATGATAACAATTGGAGATAAGTGATGAATGTTTGATGTGGGTGTATGCATACTTTTTAAAAAATCATTTTATTGGGGGCTTACAACTCCTATCACAATTCCTATCACAATCCATCCATCCACTGTGTCAAGCACATTTTTACACTTGTTGCCATCATTATTCTCAAAACATTTGCTTTCTACTTGAGTCTTTGGTATCAGCAACTCCTTCCCCGCTCCCCCCTCCCTCATGCACCCTTGATAATTTATAAATTATTATTATTTTGTCATATCTTACACTGTCCGACTCTTCCTTCACCCACTTTAACAGAAAATGTTTTATCAGAAATATAAATCTTGTGGATTTTTAGGCAAAGGTTTTTTAGTTTGAAAAATAAATCAAAGACAAAACTACCAAAAAACTGGACAGGTGTAAGATATGAAAATAATAATCATTTATCATTTATCGAGGGCTAGTGAGGGTGGGAGGCTGGGGGAAGGGGGGGGGAGGGGAAAGGGCTCCGGCAGAGAGGAATGTTCGGAGACAGACGGCGGCGGCACACGCACTGCTGTGCCCACACCGTGGACGGGGCCTTGTCAGAGGAGCTCTCTGAGCCCCCGCACCGCGACAGACTAAAGACAAGCCCCCAAACTCCTGCACAGCCTTTTCTTTGTTTATAGCTTTGCCTGCCAGGGAAATCTACTCGTGATGGTCAATATGAAGAAACATAGACGTTCTAATCATCTTTAATTGATTGTGGTTCGGGTGAAAGCAAGTTGGTTTTGTGCTCAATAATTTACACGGCTGTATTTTCGTGGCATTCGCTGCCATCCGCTCAGTGCGATCCCCTGCTTCCTCCTCACCATCAGCTTTTCCTTTTGTCCTTTCCTCTCTCGCCCGACCTGTTGGACTTTGTTTGGGGGACATGTTTGTCTTCCACTTTGCTTCATGCTTCTGGGGATTCTGTTCCACGTGAGTATTCGGGTTCATTTTGTAGGTCTGACTATTGATCAGGGGAAAGGTGATCCTGAGCAGGCCTCAGTTCTAGGTTTGCAGAGGGCCTGGGGCCATAGCCCTGGGGATTCTGACGGCTCCATCAGACCAATACACCTGGTCGCTTGGATGATTTCAAATTTTGTTGTATCGTTTTACCTGCTCTGACCAAGACATTCTAATGAGATCTCTATTAAAGTGATTGGTTGGGGTAGCCAGACACCATCTGCCCCTTCTGGACTAGGGGAAGCAGCTGCTGTGCTCCATGGAGTATGTTCATCTGAGGTAGTTAAAGTTTATTGTGCCAACCTGGCTGATAAACACATGTGGGGTTAATGAAGGGTGGAGAGATAAATGACTCGGTGAGCCTCGACTTTCTAGTTCTCGGGTCTCTTGCTTTGTGATGGTCCCACCAAGGTGTAGCTGCCTTAGCCAGTTCCCTGCTTCAGCTGGCAAGGCTCACTTCCTGCAAGACATTCCTGAGGAGAAGCTACATGGACCTACCCCATGCAGCCCTGGGTGCTGGAGCACCCGTGTGGAGACCCCTGCCAGCGCTGAGATGCTTGCACACTCACTGACTCGGCTTTCCTCCTGCAGTCGGCGTCATTGCATCTGCTTTGTGAGATGGAGGAAGACTTTCTGGATTGGAGTTTGACATTGGGGTTAATGTTGGACTTGTGGGCTTGGGCAGCACTGGGGTGGGATATTTTCTTGATGTGCACTTAACTTTCATATGAAACTCTCTTGTACATGAGTTTCTGTGGATTTGTTTCTCTAAAGTACCCAAACTAACACATCGTCCTTTTACACAAGTTGTTACCTTCGATCTTTCCTCTTCTTTCTTTCTGTGTGGCTTCAGACAGCAAAGACAAAAGAGGGCGTCTTAGATGGCTGTTCCCCAGCTTTGACTACCTTGGTTGCTCCCCACTAAGGTTGAAGGTAGGATGCTGACTCTGGATTTGATCAACTGACCGAGGTGTTCCTGCGGACAACGGTCCCAGACTCCCAAACCCAGTGACCCAACCCTCACAGTGGCTTATTATGACTCAGAAGTCTTCATAATTTTGTCCACTCTGTGTGTGCTCTTCTGTATTCATGGATATATTTACAACACATACAAATAAGTCTGTAGATATATCCTCTCTACTCATGTACATAAATATATATGTATGTAGAATCCCAGTCTTTCCTACATGTTTTTCTCATCTATTTATGTATCTACTCAGAGATTAGTGCTTACTCGTATTGTCACTGTAATTGTGTTTGTAACACTATTTACCTTAGTTTCCTTTAAGCCTTGGGCACTTCCCACTGCCTGTCTAAACCTTGGCCATTTTATGCGGGCCTCATCTTTATGGTACATGGCCTTCTCCCTTCACCTCATTAATACACGTCTACTGTCTAGACTCTAATTAGTGATCTTCCCTCCCTTTCCTTTTCAGCTCAGAGAATCAAAAATGTTGCTTCTTTCTGTGTCTACTCTACACAGTGACCTTTCTCTATGTCATAATGTTTTAGTTCTCTCTTAATAGGATCAATTATTGTAAGAGACAACCAACCATATTAACTCTATTTTCCCTTATTTGCTTTTTTTCTGTTAGCATGTGATAATCTTCCGGAAGCTGAAAAATATGTAGTATTTTTAAAACTGCTACAAAATTCTGAGGAAATTCTTTAAATTAGAATTATCCTAATGAAAGTTTATTTGAACAATTGTTAATTTAATTTTATACACATTTTTTTACTCCCATATAGAATTTCCATCTCAGAAACTTAGCATGGTCGTTCTTTCTTATACAATGTCCAAATTCCTATACCAAAATTATTTATGAAAAATACTGACAGTCTTCATGGAAACCATTCAGGGAAGGCCAATATTACAATAATTCTGGATGGTACACATGACAGGCCAAACTGGAATTTAGTAGGGCCCTCCAAAGAATGGACATGTGTCATGGCGGAGTTTGGTGAAAAGCCACATAGCCCTAGGAGTCTCTACATCTACAAGCATTTGTGAATCTGCAGCCAACACAGGACGAAGGGAACAGCAACTGTCCACTTCTCCCTGGCCAAACATGAAGCCCTGGGCAAGGAGGATGTCAAAACATAACAGACTCATACACTGCTTGAATTTTGAAAGCGTATACCAAGCCCCGTAATGATCCCTTGACGACAATGGAAAGTGTACTGACTCAAGGTGTTTTCATACAAGCTAGAATGATTGCTGACTAGTCAGGAACTCTGCTGATCCCGAGCCCTCACCTAGAAAGACAATATGAAAATCACAAAGGAGAGAAAAAGTAACCAGAGATATCCATGGCCATATGGCAGGAGAGACAGAGTGGAGGCTCAGTCCCAGCAGGTCACAATGTTAACACATGCAAAGAAGGAGGAAAGCGTGCGCTATATCCAAGGAGAGGAAAGGACTCAATGAATATTGCACTCAAGTCACCGGCTGTTGGGGTGAGCAGACAATGGCTGTAGAGCAGCTTTTATAAACAGGAAACCATGGGAAACAATGTTTAAAGACATAAAAGAGAGTGTGATGACAATTGTCAACATGGAGAATAGCAGAGGAGCTTACTCTCATGACTGGAGTCAAGGCTGACTCATGGTGACCCTGTAGAACAGGAGAGAAATACATCCGAGTTTCTAACACTGGAACTCTTTAGGCGAGCAGAAAGCCTTATGTTTCTCCCACAGCGAAGCTGGTGGTTTCAAACTGTTGACCTCGTGAGTAGCAGCCCAAAGGGTAACCACAGGGCTCCCAAAGGACCTTGACAAACTTCAATTAAGATAAAACTCAACCTACCAGCCATCACTGCCATACAGTTGATTCTGGTACATAGTGAGCCTACATATGGTTTCCAAGAATGTACATCCTTATAGAAGCAGACAGCTTTTTATTTTTCCCTTGAGCAAATGGTGGTTTTAAACCATAATGCTGCCCTTAGCCGCCAAGCTCACAGTGCCACCAGGCCTGATAGAGATCAAAATCTGAGAACACGATAATAAAATTGCTAAAAAGCCAATGACGGAAAAAAATCTTCAGAAGAAAAATGAAAAATGACTTCCTATTTCAAGGAAATCGCAATAATATTAACTCATCATTTCTCAACAGAAACAATGGATGCAGCAGTGTGACATATTCAAACTTTGTGAGGGAAAAAAAAGTCAAGTAATAACTTCATCCACAGCAAAATTATGCTTCGAGAACAAAGAGGATATAAAAATATACAATGATTTTTTTAAAAGTAGAAACTACGTTTCGAGCACACAGATCTTACAAAGAAAATAAACAGTGCAGACCACAAGGAAATGACATCAATTAATACTCACATCTACCTAGAGACGGAATGAACACCAGAAAGGAAATTGTGGAGGTAAATAACATGACAATACAACTGTACTTAGCTATCAGTTTTCATTTCTTAATTGATTCAACAGATAAGACAAAAATAGTGGTAAAAATATATTTTTGAATTTATGCCATCTACCCACTGCTATTGAGTCAATTTCATTGTCACAATAAAATTATCTTGGTTACAAGAAGTTCTTTATCTCAACTCAGGGAAAGTCATTTAGGGTAGGTAAATATCTGTTCATGGAGAGAAGATATCAAAATGTATTGTTAAATAATTTAACCCAAATAATCAACTGAGATGTAATAACGGTTATATTTCTAGACTTTATATAGGGAGCATCAACCTTTCCAGTGGTAAATTACATGCATCTGTTTATCTCCCTTTCATAACACAAAGTTACAAAATACAATTGTTAAGGGACAGTGCTGTTCAAGTGTACAACGATTTGGCATTATTTGTGAGCAGTCCAATATGATAAGACAAGTGAAACACACTCAAGCAGACACCTGGTGTGATAAAGCGGATGAAAGCTTTGAGAGTCATTGTCTCAAGGGCTTGAGTAAACAGGAAAGCCATAAACTTGGGTTATACAATTTATTTATAAGTCTGTGACTCTCACTTAAGACCCATGATGTGCTAACGATGTATTTTAGGTTAAAAGTACCAGTGAAATTAACTACCAAAACTAGTCAGTGGATTTTTTTTTACCCCCAATGAACACTAAACTACCTGAAGTCTTTAGAACTGGAGAGTGATTCTATTGACTCAATTGCTACAACTAATGGGAAGCTATAGTAATTAATCAGTATTAAAACTTTAATTTCACTGCAACAACTAGTAAAAAGCAGGTCAAGTACAAAAGATATATTTATAAATGTCAGCTCTGTGGAAGCAAAAAGTCCAGAATTGCATCGCACAGATTAAAGCCACCATTTTAGATGCGGAAGGTTTGCTTTTCTTTCCTGGGTGTATTTATTGATGTGAGGGTAGGCTAAGGATCAGACTAGGCCTGCAGCAGGGGGTGGTTTTGATCATGTAGGTTGGGATCATGAATTAGAAGCTAGAGGACTGTCAGATTCACAGAGGTTTCCGTTCACCTTAAAATCACAGAAATTACCTGGTTCTAGGGTAGAAGTGGAGACATGTGGTACAAGTATTTCTATAACTCAAAATCAAATTTCTACATGAGCTCTGTGAACTATATTGTATCCAGATTATATTTTAGAAAGTTGTTACAAATGAGAGAGAGAGGTATTTAACCATCTGGCATGGGGTAGAAACAAAAATTCTTCATTTTAGTTTGGAGGCTTATTATATATAAATATTTTTAAATGAATACACTTCATTAAATAAACTCATGAATATTTGACACAAGGAAATGTAGCCCTTAAAAGTAAGATTTTAATCAATTTAGGACATTTCACTAAATTGGTATTACTTTAAAAAAGAAATTTGAAGAATAGAAATAACTGAACATTTCTGTGTAACAAGAAAGAATAAAGCAAATTAGACATGTAACTAGTTCTATTCATATTGTGCATGAAATCTTGTAAGCTAAATGATGATTTCACAGAAAGATGAATAAGAAAAACAAACATGAAAATAAAATTAAAATTATTTCTCCTGTAAAGTACAGAGGAAGGGAAGTAAAATGAGAGTTGGGAAAGAATTTTATTTTAATTGTTTTAGGACCAAGAGAAATAAGGTATAGGAACTAAACTCTGTTACTCACAGGGTGGGTGTTGAGCCAGCGACCAACAGTGCTTGATTCTGGATTTGATAGATATGATTTTTATTTTCTTGTGGATTCACGTTCTTATTTTTTATAAAAGCCGATGAAAACCATTCCTCATACCCATCAAAAGCACGAAAATGCTCCCTTAAAAAGGTTCTTAAACTATTGAGAAATAGGTTACAATTTGAAAGTGACAACAATTCATGGCCAAAGTACAAGCCTGGGGAAAAACAAAAAAGAGAAAAAGCAAGCAAGCAGGCTTTATTTTTGTACCCTGAAAATAAGGTCCTTATCAGTTAGCACTTTAAAAGAGGTCACGTGCAGCATAATGCAATTACATAATGCAATATGTCCTTTGATCTCTAGAGTGCCATTTTCATGGGCACTAATTTTGGAACCAAGCAAGATCAAATTCTTGACAACTTCATTTTTAAAATTTTTCTTTACCTCTGTTCTTCGTGATGTTACCTCTCATTCCAGTTGTGAGGACTTTGATTTTCTTTACATTGAATTGTAATCCATTGTGAAGGCTGCAGTCCTTGATCTTACCAAGTTTACCTCAGATTGTTAATAAACATTCTTCCAATCCTGAAACCACATTCTGTTCACATAATCCAGCAGCACTGATTATTTGCTTAGTGTCCAGACTGAATAAGTTTGCTGAGAGGATTCAATCCTGACTTCTACCTTCCTGGATTTTAAACCATGCAGGATTCCTTTGATCTGTTCACATAACTGCCTCTTGATCCATGTACAGGTTCTGCATGAGCATAATAAAGTGTTCTAGAATTCCTGTTCTTCTCAAGACTATCTGTGGTTTGTTGTCATCCACACAGACAAATACCTTTGCATCGTCTATGGAACACAATTAAACATCTTTCTAGTATTTTCTTCTTTCAGCCAAGAGCCATGAGCCATGAGCATTGTTATCCCTTGTTCCCTGGTTTCTTCTGAATTCAGTCAGAACGTCTGGCAGCTCCTTGGCAATGCGTGGCTGCACCATTGTTGACTGATCTTCAGCAAAATTTTACTGACATGTGATATCAATTATCTTGTTCTAGACTTTGTTCATTCTGTTAGGTCACCTTTCTTTGGAATAGTACAAATATGGATCTTTTCTGGTAAATTAGCGCCCTGGTGGTGTAGTGGTTATAAGGTGGGCTGTGATCTGCAAGATCGGCAGTTCAAAACCACCAGCAGCTCTGAGGGAGGAAGACTGGGCTTTCTACTCCTGAAAACAGTTACAATTTCAAAAACTCACAGTGGATCGCTATGAGACTGCATTTAAACAATAGCAGTGCGTTTCCAGTAAGATGGCCAAGTAGCTCTCTTCGAAATTTCTTGGCGTAGAAGAGTGAGTGTGTCCAGTACTCCATCCGCTTGTTGAAACATTTCTATTGGTATTCAATTTTTGGAAGTGTGTTTTTGACTAATGCTTTCAGTGCAGCTTGAGTTTCTTCCTTCAGCACCATTGACTCTTGCTTATATGCTAGCACCTAAAATGGTTAAATGTGCACTAGTTCTTTCAGGTACAGTGGCTCTATTTATGTCTTCAATCTGCCTTTGATGCTTCCTGTATCATTCAATATTTTTCCATAGAACCTTTCAAGATTTGAACTTGAGGCTTGAATTTTTTCTTCAGTTTTTCACATTGAAATATGGTGAGAACATACTTCTTTTTAGGTTTTCTAACTCAGTCTTCTTTTTCCCCAAATTTCATTAGAGCAATTCATGTTTATATGATTTATAATTCATTAGAATAATTCATATGTAAAAATTCATTATAACTTTGTCTTCATAAGCTGCCCTTTCAAATTTTCTGTTCAGCTCTTAGACTTCATTACTTCCCATTTGTCTTAATTACTCTATGATCAAGAGCAAGTATCAAAAGCTCTCTTGACATTTTCTTAGGTTTTTTTTTTCACTTTTTGTCTTTGTAATTGCCTTTTGCATTATTTATGTTCTTGATGTCACAACACATTAAATCTATTTATGCATTAAATCTATTGTACAGATGTTCTCAAAATTCAGAAGGTATATACTTAATGCCATAGTTTAGCTCTCCTGGACTTGTTTTAATTTTCTTCAACTTCAGCTTTGACTTGCATATGTGCAATTAATTGATGGCCTGTTCCACAGTCGGCTCCTAACCTGGTTTTAAATACTGATATTCAACTTTTCAATATATCTTCCCCAAGATGTAGTCAATTTTATTTGAATTTATGCTCATTGGAAATTCACATTTTTGTTATCTTTTTGTTGCTGAATATATATATTTGTAAAGAAGACATCTTGGGTTTTGAAAAATTCTATCATGTGATCTTCAGCTTCATTTCTATCACTAAGACCATATTTTCAATACCAGCAGCTAAAACCAGACCAGCGATTGACTGTGGAACAGACCATCAACTGCTCGTAAGTAAGTTCAGGTTAAAGCTGAAGAAAATTAAAACAAGTCCACAGGTGCCAAAATATCTTGAGTCTATCCCTCCTAAATTTTGAGAACAACTCAATAAAAGATTTGAACGATTGAATATTAATGACAGAAGACCTGATGAGCTATGGAAAGACATCAAGACAATCATTCATAAAGAAAGCAAAAGATCATTTTTTTTAAAAAGCAGGAAAGAAAGAAAAGATGTGCCGTCAGAAGAGACTCTGAAACTTGATAGTAATCATAGAGCAGCTAAAGCAAATAGAAGAATGAATGATGTGAAGGAGCTGAATAGAAAATTTCAAAGGGCAGCTCGAGAAGACAAAGCCAAATATAACAAAATGTGCAATGACCAAGAATTATAAAACCAAAAGTGATGAACATGCTTAGCATATCTGAAATTGAAAGGACTCAAGTAAAAGTCAAGCCTTGAAGTGCAATTTTGAGATTCTATAAGCAAAATATTAAATGATGCAGGAAGCATCAAACGAAGATGGAAAGAATAGAGTCGCTGTAGCAGAATGGACCAGTCAACATTCCACCGTTTCAGGAGCTAGCATATGAGCAAGAACCAGTGGTGCTGAAGGAAGAGGTTCACACCATACTGAATGCATTAGGCAAAAAGAGGTGCCAGAAATTGATTGAATGCCACTGAAATGTTTCAGAAAGCCAGAGAAGCACTGAAAGCATGCGCTTATCTATTCCAGAAAATTTGGAAGACAGCTACTTGGTCAACTGACTCAAAGAGATCCATATTTTTGCCCATCCCAAAGAAAGGTGACCAAAGAGAATGCTCAAATTATAGAATGATATCATTGATACTGCACACAATTAAACTATTGCTTAAGATCATCCAATAATGGTTACAGCAGTTAATTTGAAGGGAACTGCCAGAAGTTCAGGCCAGATTCAGAAGAGGACATGGGATAAGGGATATCATTGCTGGTGTCAGATAGATCTTGGCTCTAAGAAGACAATACCAGAAAGGTGTTTACCTGTATGTCACTGACTATGCAAAGGCATTCAACTGTGTAGAACATAATAAACTGTGGATAACTTTGAGAAGAATGGGAATTCCAAAACACTTCACTGTGCTCATGAGTAAATTGTACATGGATCAAGAGGCAATTCTGTGAACACAAGGGAACACGGCATGGTTCAAAATCAGGAAAGGTGTGGGTCAGGGTTGTATCCTCCTATCATACTTGTTCAACCTATATGATGAGAAAATAATCAGAGAAGCTGGCTTACATGAAAAAAAGGTAAGGAATTTGGAATGGAGGAAGGCTCATTAACAACCTGCAGTATGCAGATGACACAACCATGCTTGCTGAAAGTGAGGAGGGATTGAAACACTTGCTGATGAAGATCAAGGATTGTAGCCTTCAGTATGAATTACAACTCAAAGTAAGCAAAACTGAAATCCTCACAACTGGACCAATAGGCAGCATCACTATAAATGGAGAAAAGGTTGAAATTATTAAAGATTTTGTCTTATTTCAATTCATGATCAATGCCCATGGAAGCATCACTCAAGAGATCAAAAGAAATGTTGCATTTTTTATATCTGCTGCACAGGACCTCTTAAGAGCATTGAAGAGCAAAGATAATACTTTGAGGACTAAGGTGCTCCTGACACAAGCCATGGTATTTTCAATTCCATCATATGCATATGAATGTTGGACATTGAATAAGGAAGACTGGAGAAGAATTGATGCATTTGAATTGTGGTGCTGGAGAAGCATATAGAATGTTCCATGGACTGCGAAAAGGACAAATCAATCAGCCTTGGAAAAAATAAGGGCAGAATGCTCCTTAAAGACAAGGATAGCAAGACTACATGGACTTATTGTCAGGAGAGATCAGTCCCTGGAGAACGACATCATGCTCAATGAATATGGGGTCAACAAGAAAGGGGAAGGCCCAAAGGAGATGGATTGACACAGTAGCTGCATCAATGGCTCTAAACATAAGAACATTTGTGATAATGATACAGCCTGGGCTGCGTTACCTTCTTTGTGTATAGGGTCATTATGGGTCAGAAGTGATTGGATGGTACCTAACAACAACATCTAGGATTATTACATAAGAATAGAGTAACAAAACATGTGAGGCAAAAACAAATTGAATGGCAGGGAGGAATAGGCAAACCTATTATTATAGTTGATAATTTCAACACCATTCCATCCATATTTGATGGGTTCAATAAGGACATATTTGACCTGAATAGCACCGTAAGTCAATTGAAACTAATTGATATTTGCAGAAAACATAACTGATAACAGCAGAATACAAATTCTTCTGAAACCAAAGAATAGAAACTAAGCAAACTATGTCCTCAGACCATAATGGAATTAAACCAGAAATCAGTAAAAGAAAGATATCGTGTAACCCGAAATTATTTGGAGATTAAGTAGCACACCTCAAGACAACACATAGGTGAAAGAAGTCTGAAAAGAAATTTGATGTTTTTAACTAAGTGAAAAGAAGATATGCTTTATTTGTATGTGTAGGGTGCAGTGGATGCAGTGTTATGAAGGAAACGTAAAGTATTAGAAGGATGTGTGAAAAGAAATATCCAAAATCAATATGTTTTCATGTGCTGCGAGAACAAATGAATCTGTTTTGGAGAAGTATAGCCAGGCCGGATACTTTTGTGTTGGTAAAGGTTGTATGTCAAATTATGAGAGCTGTGATTCTCAGT